GTGTGTTTATTTGTTTTGGCAGGAGGGAATGAAGTAAAGGCATTTCTTGGATGGGAGAATCATGCAGAGCTTACTCTGGAGTGTGTGGTGTAAATGGGTGCCTTTATTGTGTTTTTATGAGTTCTGAAATAGATAATACAGAACCATGGGGCAAAAGTCCATACAAGCAGAACAAGCAAGAGCCCCGCTGGGCTCCATCCCTGCCACCTGGTGGGTGGGAGGTTCCTTTATCGTGCAGGCTTGCTGGCCCAGGCTCCCCTGTGGCCACTTACCACGCACCCCTCACGCCCCACTCACCCATCCCTTGCACGGTTTTAGAGCAAATCCCAGATGTCAAGTGCAAAAAAATGTTTTTAAGCATACAGCCACAGTCCCTTTAGTTCACCTAAAACAATTAGCAATGATCACTGAATATCATCAAATAATCAGTGTTGAGATGTCCCCAGTGTGTTTAAATCTGTATCCAATAAGGTGTGTGTCCCTTAATAAATACCTTTTTTAATTTATGGTTCCCCCTGCCACCTTTTTTTTTGTCCTTTAGTGTGGAAAAAATGAGGTCATTTATATTCTCTCATACACACACTCTCTTCCCATGGCCTGGGTTTACTGGATGCCACCCGTGACGGGTGGGGGGTATCATTTCATGGGCTCCCCCCACCCCCACCCCGTGTGTCCTGTGTCCGAAATCCTCTAGCAGGAGACATGGCCAGATTTGATTTGTTTGTACAGAAGGGAGGGGCCTGCACCAAGTTCAGTGGGTGTTTTCGTCGCCTCATTCCCGACCAGGCCCCTGCACTCATCAGACACGGCCGAGTAGTGCTAGTGTGATGGCGGCCTGCTGACAGGCCCACGAAATGGCAAGAGGCAGGCCCTTCAGCAGCCAGGGGGTCACCTCAAGCTACTGTTCTGATAAGAAGGGCAGGATAAACACCTGGTGCTTTTTCCTAGCTGGAGGATTTCAAACGCAGGAGATGTACGTGTGGGTGCACAGCTCCCCCACTCCACCCCAGCCCCCCCTACACACGCACACACACATGCATACACATGCTGACTGGTCCCAGGAATGAGGAATGCTTCCTACCAGATGCATGCCGAGGCTCTGCCAAGGTGCCTCTTCCAGTAACCTTGGTAATCCCCAGTGGTAAACATCTCAAAGGAGTTGGCGTGGGGGCATACTGGAGGTAGGGGCCACCTCACGTTCACAGTGGACCCATTTTTCCTTGCAGGCTCTCACCTGCAGGGGTTGTGAGAGGTGTCCAGCTCAGGTCTGAGTGACACAGACCATCTGTGTCAATGAGCCATCAAGGGGCCTCAGTGTGGCCCTGGGCCAGAAGAAGAGTTCTTAGTCTATGGGAGTTCTGACCGCGGGACTATGAAATCTTGGATCTACTACCTAGAAACAGGCTCTTACACTTCCCCTTGCCCCCCAGAAGTGTAGTGCACCCGCCCCCCTCCCAAGATAGTGCTCGCCTCATTTCCTGCTGGGGCTGATGTCAGAAAATTCTGTACAACCCCAGAGCTTTCACCTATGACCCTGTAGGGACCCCAAGTTAACCCATGGATCTGGAGGTGGAAATGGCATGTGTGGCCAATGCCTTCAAGCATAACTGCCTCTGCCAAAAGAAGACGTGGATTGTGCCCAGCTCCCCTTGCTGAGCACTGGCTCACCAGTTCCAGAGAAGGATCCTGATCAGAAAGAAGGTCCAAAGTGAGATGTGGGGAGAGATGTGAAATAGAACTTCAAGTTCCAGACTCATGAGAGCCATTGGGCCTGGAAGACCCCACCCCCTAGAAGCGATTGCAGAAATCTTCAAACCTTGAACCAGAACTTAAAATGTCTCCCAACCCCCAACTTTAAGTCAAACAGTAGTTTAGCTTACTTAGAAAAGAGTATCTGAAGGGGACAAATAACAAACGTGGATGAAGGGAGACCACGGACAGTGTGCGATATGAAATAATCACTATAATTGATCAAGGATTCACAAGGCGGGTGGGAGAGGAGCTTACACCAAAGGCTCAAGTAGAAAATGTTTTAGAAATGATGGCAACATGTATAAATACGCTTGAAACAATTGATGTATGCAATGTTATCAGAACTGTAAGCGCTCTCAATAAAATGAGTTTGTTTTAAAGAGTATCTGCGTGAGCATTGTGTTGTCTTAGAGGGTCATCTATTGGCAGCAACTCGAGGGTTAGCGGAGACGCCGCTGACAAGTAGACTGAGTTGGTCTCCGTGATGGTGAAACAGCTCAGAAAAGAACGTGGAGGAAAACGGCCCCACTTGAAGACTGAAACACATGTGGCTGAAGGGCACATTAAGTATCGAAATTGTTGAATTGGTGCATCCTCTGCTGTGTATACCTTCACACACACACAGAGGACCCCTGGACGAGATAGATAATCACTGAACTTTCTTTCAGTCTTAAAATTCTGGGATGCTTCCAAGGCCCTTTGGGAAGGGAGCAGGAGAGGCAGTTCCCTCTCCCTGGGAAGACTGTAAAAGGATTCACAGCCTTGCTCCTAATTCCAATGGAGACATGAAGTGATGGGCTAATTCCATCGCTAGGTCCTGACAAATGAGAAAGGAGGTCAGAGAGGTGGTGTGACTTGCTAAGCGTTACATAGCTGCTCACTGGAAGATGGAAGAGGCCTGCCTTCCCAGGGCGCCCTGGCTCCGCAGGCGGTGGACACACACACACACGCCTCTCACTCACTGTCCTGTGCTAAGACCTCGCCTCTGTATGATGTTCCCCAAACCCGGCCTCTTCCTCAAAGAATGAAGACATGTTCTCTGATCCCTCAAGGCAGATTGCTACACTTGGTTTAAAACCAACAAAACCATGAGGGTACCTCTGCAGGTACTCTATGCAGGCAACTTTTATTTCAAGCCTGTCCAGCTGACTCAATCTACTTGTTAATGGAGGCCTCACAGAGTGACTGTCTCCTCCTGTGAGGGCCCACTGGTGGCCAAGGGCTCCTCCTTTCCTTCAGGGTGCACCTGAGCCTGGGCTATGGGTGTCGGTGGATGTAGAGGTAGGTAAAGGATCAATGGGCAGCTCCTAAAAGGCCTTGAAGCGGGTGGATGGTTGGGAATGGATCTGCTGGCAGTCAACAGCTCCGGGAGGATGCAGGAAAGTATAGGGCTGGATTTGGAGGCCCCCAGCCCTGGTGGCATAGTGCGTTATGAGTCGAACTGTTAACCACAAGATGAGCGGTTTGAAACCACGAGCCGATCCTCAGGACAAAGATGAGGCTTTCTACTCTCCTAAAGAATTAGTCTTGGAAACCCACAAGGGCAGTTCTGCTCTGTCTGATAAGGTCATCTGATTTGGAATCGGCTCAGTGGGAGGGAGGAGAGTGAGTGAAGGTGCTGGGGAGGGCATGGCCAGGGTGTCAGGAAGTTGGGAGCTCTGTGCTCTGAAGATCACTAGAGCCGGGGTGGTTCCTGGCTCTACTGCTTAGTCATGGTGTGGCCTTGGGCAAGTCACTGTATTTCACAGCTTCATTTGCCCACCTCTATAATGGAGTTGCTGCCTCTGTCTGTTAGGGTAGGAGGGATAGATGTGACCGTGCTATAAAGCCTCTATAGCAGTGGTTCTCAACCTTCCTAATGTCGTGATCCTTTAATACAAAGTTGCTCATGTGGTGGTGAACCCCCAACCATAAAATTATTTTCATTGCTACATCATCACTGTCATTTTGCTACTGTTATGAATCGGCCAACCCCTGTGAAAGGGTCATTTGACCTCCAAAGGGGTCGCGACCCACAGGTTGAGAACTGCTGCTCTGTGGTTTGGTCCTGGCCTGCTCAGGGCTTTGTTAAGGACCCAGCACAGAGTTAAAGCTGAGCGAGTCCGTGGTTCAATCCCAGAAGAAGCCACCCAGGAGCTAAAGGGCCCACGGTAGGGAGAGGCTTCTAGGAGAAGGGGTGGTCCCGCGGGATAAACAGAGAGGGTCTTGGGCATTCCAGACAGTGACAATAGTGCATACACTCAGACCTTCCGCTATTCCTCTGTATCCCTCTGTTGCTAGGACAGGAGCCCCCCTCCAGCTGGCCTGACTTAAGCGTAAAGAAATGCATTGTCTTACATGAGCAGCGCCCACAGCCGGGCTGTCTTTTGATTCTGCCTCCCCCAGTGTCAGCTTCTTTCTGAGCAAAACCAAAAACCAAACACACTGCCATGGGGTCGATGCTGACCCACAGCGACCCTAAAGGACAGGGTGGAACTGCCCCTGTGGGTTTCCAAGACTGTAAATCTCTCCCTGAAAAACAAATGTGCTGCCCTGGAGTCAAGTCTGACGCACAGTGACCCTTGCCGCTGAGGGCTCTGAGACTGGAATAAAAAGCCTCCCACGTTCTCCCACGGAGGGAGGTTTCAAACTGCTGGCCAGACTCAGAACACAAACCAGACTCAGTGCTGAGGCTGTAAATCTTCAGGGGCAGTCAGCCTCTTCTTCCTCCCATGGAGCAGTTGGTGGTTTTGAACTGCTGACCTTTTGGTTAGCAGCCCAAATGTGTAACCACTACACTACCAGGGCTCCTGTAGGCGTAATGTAGGTGCACAGCCTACACTGTAAAGGACCAGGCAGTAAAAAAATCAGACTGTACAGGCCATAGGTTTCTATGGCATCTTCTCTGATTTTTTTTAAAAATGTAATAAATCATTTTATTGGGGGCTCTTGACAGCTCTTATAACAATCCATACATCAATTGTATCAAGAACATCTGTACATTCATTGCCATCGTTTCCAAAACACTCTACTTGAGCCCTTGTTTCGGCTCTTCTTTTTCCCCCTCCTTCCCCTACTCTCCCACCCTTGTGACCCCTTGATAATTTATAAATTATTTTTGTTTTCATATCATACACCATCCACTGTCTCCCTTCACTCACCT